AAAGCATGAAATTGTGCTGTATATGAGTGGTGATTTCGCTCTGAGAATCAGGGTCAGTAGCTCAATTGGTAGAGACGCGAAGAGACGCGAAATCTCGAGGTTCTGGGATCATTCCCCAGTTGTCCCTAGTTTTTCAGAATTAATCATCACATATAGACAGCATGAGAGAAGGCCTGGCCATCTCGAAGTGATAATGATAATTAAATGTTTCGCAGATTGGCAATTGATCGGTGTAGTTGGTGTTGTACACACTGCACTGATAATGATATCTCGTTGAACGTGTAATGTAAATATAGTGTGGATACATGCGAATATATATTCTAAATAACACGTTGTTATAGGTTGTATTTATTTCATTAATCTAGATTAGAACACCCCTTCCTCAAATACGAAGAATTCTAGTGGACACTTAGTTGACACACAATTTAACACGGTCATCATAACAACTATAATAAACCCGTTAACGCAACCAGTTTTATTTGTGAGTATCAGCACTCTCACCTTATCTCTCACCTTATCTCTCACCTTATCTCTCACCTTATCTCTCACCTTATCTCTCACCTTATCTCTCAACTTATCCCTCACCTTATCTCTCAACTTATCCCTCACCTTATCTCTCACCTTATCTCTCACCTTATCTCTCACCTTATCTCTCACCTTATCTCTCACTTATCTCTCAACTTATCCCTCACCTTATCTCTCACCTTATCTCTCACCTTATCTCTCACCTTATCTCTCACCTTATCTCTCACTTATCTCTCAACTTATCCCTCACCTTATCTCTCACCTTATCTCTCACCTTATCTCACCTTATCTCACCTTATCTCTCACCTTATTTCTCACCTTATCTCACCTTATCTCACCTTATCTCTCACCTTATCTCTCACCTTATCTCTCACCTTATCTCTCACCTTATCTCTCAACTTATCCCTCACCTTATCTCTCACCTTATCTCTCACCTTATCTCTCACCTTATCTCTCACCTTATCTCTCACTTATCTCTCAACTTATCCCTCACCTTATCTCTCACCTTATCTCTCACCTTATCTCACCTTATCTCACCTTATCTCTCACCTTATTTCTCACCTTATCTCACCTTATCTCACCTTATCTCTCACCTTATCTCACCTTATCTCTCACCTTATCTCACCTTATCTCACCTTATCTCTCACCTCATCTCACCTTATCTCTCACCTTATCTCTCACCTTATCTCTCACCTTATCACAGTTCACTTCTCGATAACGTATCTCAACATACACTGGACTTCATAACGTAGTTAGTTGAGTTTGAAGAGTATGTTGAGGGTCTCTTAATCGGGCGATGTTGCCTCTTCCTCCTCACCTTCTCTATCCAAAACCTTATGAGAAACTGCCTAAAACTAGACACAGTCATACAGTACAGAATGAAGTTATACATCACGTTTATCGACAGAGCAGACATGGCAATTCTGTACCAGTAAACATGAAAGAATCCCGGGGTTTCCTCGTCTATGAGGTAACGTAGGACTATGTGGAGCGAGATGGGGATTACAGACAAGCAGAACACAACCGCAGTGAGAATTACCGTCATCAGGCCCTGCCGTCGTAGATTGTCTCTCTGTTTTTGTGCAACTTTCCTCGCTTCATAAATCAGCAGTCCAGTGGTTGTGGGGACGACCAGGTTGGGCAGCACTGTCAGGATGGTTCCTATTATAATGGGGCATAATATCCCCCACTTGGCTGAGGAGAACCTGTAGCGGCAGGCGTAGTCCCGGTAATCAAACGTTATATCGTCTTTGTCTACTATGAGCATCATCAGAGGCAGGATAGCACAGTAGATCCAGATCCCAAAACAGAGGTTGTGAGCGCGCCTTTTAGACCACCGGCCGTCATTGAGCGGGAATTTTACGAGCAGGTATTTGGTGGTGGTCAATGCTGCCATGAGGTGCAGACTGGCTGGGAATGAGTAGAATGCCAGGTATGACCTAAAGTGGCAGATTGCCTTTCCTAGGATACTTTTGTTTGCCAGCAGAGAGATGAGGAAAGTTACAAGTACCAGGGAAGAGATAATGTCGCACACAGCTATGTGCTGTATGATTGTCACAGTGAATCTGTGGAGCTTGATGGCCTTGTACTTGATGGTTGCTCCTAATATGATGAGACTGCCGATTTGTCCAGATAGGATTGTGATGAGTGCGAAGCCTGCCCATGTGAATCTGGCCGCCTCGTTGTGGATCCCGTACAGACTGTAGTTTGAGAAATTAGTTTCCATTGTCTAGCATTTATCTGAATGGTTATTGAACAATGAACATGTGTTAGTATCCGTACGATTAACTGTCAATAGTTATCAATTTACACGTGTTTCTAGTCGTATTATCAAACGATAAAACTATTGCGAAATATGTACAACAATTCAAGGCAGTAAAGTTGAGCCACAAAATTGATCAACTATTGCTACTCGTATTTCTGTCAGGACAAACGAAAACAAAAGTTTAAAAGATAAATTCTGGAGAAAAATTCCACAAAAAAGGCACAAAAAAGGCACAAAAAAGGCAAATTTTTAGAATCTAGATAGTGACTCGACGGAAGGATTAATGAATGGTTGTCTCTGTCGCAGACAGTTTGAGTTATTTATACAATATCATAGCCTCTCTGAGTGGCAGTGTCACGAGGGTCAAGTTACAGCAGGGTAAAAATAAATTCTCAGCTTAGTAGATCCAAAAGTGATCATTGAGTAGCCACTGTTGGAAGATTCTCAAGAGAAAACCGAGCAATATGAAAAATCATGTCGGCAATCTTTACATAGTGTAGAAACTTTCTGTTGTGCATAATAGAGAGACGGAGAGGTAATGCTGAAACGCTTACATGAATATTTGAAGTAAGAAGATGAAGCTAGATAGCTAGATGTACAAAGAAATGATAGCTGTTCGAGTCGCTCAAAGTGTACGTATATTTCACTCCGTCATGTCGTTATGATCCTTCAAACGGCAGTATATTATCAACGTTAGTAACGTACTTCTATGTTGGATCTAAAAGACTGGCTCAGTTTCTCAATAATCTTCGTCTAAACCGGCCACTTTCCGTAGAATGATACAGCTGCATCCTTTGCTTTTGTAGTTTTATATGAATTTAATAGTGGTTTAGAATGAAGAGAGAGTGACATATTATTAGCTTACCAAATTGAACTTTTCAACCCAGAAGTAATGACGTAACTTCAATGTTATGTGTTTGAAAAAAAGCGGTTAAATTATTTCTGTTAGCCTGATCAATGATTATTTCAAACATATACCAAACAACTAGATATTATGTATCTTTTTAGTGCAAGGGTGAGCGTTCTCCACTCGATGAGCGCCTTTAGTATTTCTTTACTGGCATGTTCTTCTGAATAGTCGAGTGAGTGATATTCACCAACCCCCCCCCCCCCCTCCCTCCAAATCTTTTGACTGAATTTGAAGATTTAACTTGTTTTCTGTCTCTTATAAAGAGGTTATACTATGACACATGATACGCAGACACTGCGGTACCTGTAACATCATATCTCCACATCCATCAATAACAGTCAATGGACAGCGAGCCAAAGCAGTGTCTGGTACATGTGTCAGCTACAATGTTGTATACCTCTTCAGTTGCCAACTTTGTAATATGTGTTATGTAGGAAGAACGGTGCAGCCCCTAAGGGCACGAGTAAACGAACATCGCGCCCATTACTAAAAACTCATTTCGGACAATACGTTTGTCCCTGAAGAAAACGACGACGGATTCAGCTTGGGTAAACACCTTGTAGAAGTTCATAACATGAAACAACGTGACAATTTCAACCAGGCTTATAAAGTGTCAATTCTCAGTAATAGTAGCCCAAGAACTCTAGAAGTGGATGAACACCGTTATATTCAGAAACTAAGAACTATACGTCCATTGGGGCTCAATGCCATGGACCCGTTTGGGATTCCATTATTGGATTTATCTTAAAGGTTTTCCATTGCATTGGGGCACAAGAGTTATGTTTTTAAAAATATTCATATCGTTTTTAGTTGTGTCATTTCATTTCCAATGTTACACTTTGTAGGAACTGATATTAACCGAGTTTCTGATTCAGGATGTTACTGAAGATAGTAATGAAAATGTTTTAACACCTCAGTACTGTGTTTTACTACAGCTCAACCTGCTCAGTCTGACTATTTGGGAATTTAAACTCTTGACTATGACGTGATATTAGGAAAGACGTTTGCGTCTCGGATTATTTGTGCCGCAAACGTCTATCATTTGAATCGAACATCATCTGAAATACTGATAGCATTCTTATTTACCCAAATTGAGGCAGCAAAGAAATTATACGCAAAAGATATATTGTCCCCGAAAAATGAAATGAAATTTAATTTTAAATTGATCCCTTGATATACCGCGTATGTCTGAACAATCTAATCTACGATTCTCTTCTCCCTTCAACGAGATAAGTAGATATAGCTATCTAGACGCTATTAGCATGTCAACATCAGACAACTTATAAGTGTTAAATATTATGCGCTCTTTACGGGCTCGTTTAAAAGAACCCTAACTATGTTGAAGACAAAAGAAATCCAGACTTGATCACTTATAGTTTACTTAAACAGAAAATAATCGGGAATTTATTGCTTCTTTTTTACTTCAACAATATGTCAATTAGTCGTCCAACGACCAACATCCACTTTATTTTGCACGTACATATTATGTATACTGTGAATAAAATAGTTGTTTTTCTAGCCCAGTCAAAATGAATGAAAAATTATAAATTTATTGTCCAGCAATTAGACCCAACAATTGAGATTATTTTACTTTCCAGCCTTTACGGGGTACTCTGTAAATACCGAATATAATGTTGACCCCAATAATTCCTGTTAAAATTAGCAGGTATTATTGCGGTGTATTGACCATTCATAAGCAATAAACCCCAATAATTGAGACTAATTTATATAAATGCACTGTTCTGGTACTCCAACACACCCTGTATATAATACACCACCGGGTAACACACTCTTTCACAGGCAGCAGGCTGGTGGGTTTATGAGGACAGTGCTGGCGCTGGAAAGTAGAATAATGTTACAGCAAACCCTCTTTCAGATCCTCTACCTTCCTCTTATCTTCCTTTTTGTACCCCTCGTTCTTGGTAAGTTTATACGTTTATAAGTTCGTGGTTTGTAAGTTTGTAAGTTTGTAAGTTTGTAAGTTTCTCTGTTTGTAAGTTTCGAAGTTTATAAGTTTATAAGCTTGTCAGTTAGCAGTTTGTAAGTTTTTAGGTTTGTAAGTTTGTTTGTTTGTCACAAAGGATTTTATTTGTTGCTGAATGTTTCGCATTAAGGCAAAAGCAAACGGCAAATTTTCTGCGATCTCTGCCAATCGTTATGCAAATATGTAAATTAATAGAGACTGCAAAAATGCACTGTTTGCACAGAGTTGTGTACACAAAAGTATGTATATACAACACCAACACTCAACTGTTGTTTATCTTCACACACTACACACTTGACTGAACGTGACATTTTTATCTTTAGCCTGAAGGTTGACACATTCCATCAGTCATGTTTGGAAATCCTTGATGACAGAATTTTAATTCATTAAAGTAGCGGCGAGAACATGAAGGGTTTGAAATATTTTCTCGAGTTGAGCTGTAAGTTTTACTTTACCTTTTTGAAGTTTGATCGATGATAGCGCATCTAAAATACTGTTTGGTCTTTAGTCTGACTGAATCACGTTGTATAGACAACAGTCATCATGAGTCAGCTATGTTTGGAAAACCTTGATGACAGAATTTAAATAGAATCGAATAGTGGCGACGACTAGACCCTTTTCTGGAATAAAATTTTGAAATATTTGTTCAGACTTTAAGAATGACACTGCTTTGAAGTTTAATTAATGTAAAGATATAAGATCAATGCTGGTAATAAGCAACTTCAGAAAGTTCTTAGATCTGTGTATGATGCAACGATCTTTTTATGCCATTCTAAGTTCTCCTGATTTTTCTGCTCGTTAGCAACTCACAAATGATGTGCTGTCAATTTTAATCAAATTCCCGTACTTAAAACAGAGATATGATTATGTAGTCTTTCAGCTTTCTAAGTACGCGACTTAAAATCGAATAAAACCGTCTAGAATTAGACCACTCAGCTAATGACGCCGAAACATCCAAAATATCAAAGTAAGAGCACTTTAATGATTTCTTTGTGACTTGTTACACTAAGCCACACTGTTTCCATCGCCATCTTAAAGGAAAAAGAGCGGTGAGTGGTTACTCGAGTTACACTGGTTACCATGGTCGGTCCAGTGGTCAATGTTTTATTGATTGTCCTCGTGTAAAGGATTTATATTATATTAGATACACCTTTTCGATCAGACTTGTTACTTTTCAAATTGTGTTGCCTCCAATAATTTCATCTTCACTGCATGGGCAATTTCTTAGTAATAAATCAAGAGGTTAGTTGGAGCGCGCGGTGCAGCACATGCGTTCAAATTTTCATGAAAGTTATTCACGGCGATATTTTTCAATCGCGCGCGCGCAGTAATGTGTGCCATGCGGTCGGTTAAGATATGAGAAGAGAAGAAATATTTTTACTCCGAAATTTGATGATCGGACTACGTATAGCGAGCTGTTTTATCCGTCCATATGTCAAAAAGCCAATTGTGAGTCTCGAAATTAATCATTACATTAATCAATTAATAATCATCATGTATATATAATATGGACTTCTATGTATACCTTATGACATGAAATTTGTGTGACGTTTAATTGTGCGATTTTCGTCAAAATCGCACAAATTAAGTGAGCCAACATTAATCTCAAGTGACGCATATTTAAATGAGCGTACTAATAAAGTTCGCAGGCTCAGAATTACGGACGTCAATTTTTCCTTATTATTCCTTATTAACGATACGTCGCACGATGTATGTTATTTGATTTTGTTTAGAATTAGCAAGAATTTAAGTTGGAAATAAAACTGATCGGTTTTTGAAACACTACTGCTTATTGAGATTTCAAATTTTTAATGTTCTCTTATATCTTTATAACTTTATATTATGATGCGAGTTGGAGGGAATTTATGTTCGATTTGACACGAATCAGCGTTCAATTGTGTTACTTAATTGAACGCCAATTGAATCGTTTATACCGACTCTTGCAAAATATTTTCTTAACCTTTGTCTCATGTTAATCAGAGTGCATTATACCCCCTCACATCAATTCAATTGTTAAACTGTAAAAATGTGAAAGTCACATACAACCCAAAACCCTTCAGGATACGTTTACTACAAAGCAGCACAGTCTATCCTGATTATCTCAGTGTATTGCGTGGTCACGTGCATGGGGCCCCTGTTCATGACCTCTATCATTATGAACCTTATAAACGACACTCTGAGGGTATTCCTTATGCAGTATAAAGATGGTATTGGCTGTTTGTACCACGTTGTTTTCATGGTACTGAGAATTGTGAAGCGTTGCTTCTAAGAATCCTTTCTTAGAAGCATCTTTATTCTTTGAAGATTTTAGTGACCGTTTTTATTTAGATTCCAATATTCAAATCAATACAAATGGATTAAATTTAGTTGACAATATTTTAACAATATTTTAAATAACCCAGATTAACGAATCTTCACTACCTGCTAAAATAAAAGCCCGAATTTAATTTTCAGGTATTTTACCGGCTGGTGGGAATCACAACATTCCCAATCTTACTCTGCAGTGTTACCATCTACTTCATGGTTAACCAAGAAATCGACTTTTGGACCTTTTTCCAGGTTTGCTACTGTTCAGTTTCGACCTAACTTTTTATAGGGCAATATATATCTCGAATAGCAAATTTCAGTAACCACAGACCACTGATTAAATTATTAATTGACATGCTGACTACAGAAAGAAAATTAACGTTTGGAGACAGGAATCTACAGTAGACTGGTAGATTGTCTACCATTTAATAATGTATTCTGTAATGAAAGGTGACAACATATCATTCCCTTGGAGCACTGAAACACTCCTCTACTCTGAATCAAAGTCTGTTTTGCCGGGGGCACTAAAAACTGTACTATCATCTCTCTCACTCTCATCTCTCCGGCTCCTCCCTCCCAATCTGGACCTAGCCGAGATCCTAGTACTGATGTCCGTGTGTGTCTCTCCCTCATCAGATGAAGTAGAGGTAGAACTAGGAGGTTTAGCTGGTGGCAGACTGGAGAGCTCACCCTGTATTGTACTGTGGTCTGTGTAATCCTGGTCTGTGTCTTGGTCTGTGATTTGGGGGTGTTATGTGAGTGTGGCTACATATTGCTACATATTACGATGTACAATTCTCTTGCAGCTTTTGTAATAAAGATATCATAAAATTAACTCAGTGCGTTAACCAAATTTGTTGAAAATTTGCCCGAATTAATATTACAGATTTGAAACTGCATGCAATGATTATCTCCAGTCTTAACTCGCCTGATCTAGGCTTTGTTCGCATTGAATAAGCTCTGGAAGTAAGATCGGTATCCGCCTCGCTGAGTACCGTGCTCTCTTTTACTGTAAACAGACTTCCAGTCCCACTCGTAGCGTCACTCTCATCGTATCTGTAATCTGGGGATAGTTTATTTCAGAAGTACTTTCATGGTAATTGGGAGTTAAGCTCATGCTTGGCGCAACAAAAGGTCGTTTCACAAAGAGTTGAACAGATTTTACTCCTAGAGAGTCGCACTAAACTAATATCTGATACTAATCTGTTGACTTTGGGATATTATAAGATCCGCACTTTACGATTAAAAACTGTCCCAAATAACGAAGAGACTAATAAAAACCTGGTTTTGGTGGTTTAACCCTTCCTTTGATAGACCCGTCTACTGCTCTAATGTGAGAAGATATAGACCTAGTGGAGGTGTTGTCAGTGTATCTGGAGGGATCCTGAGGAGACTTCACTGGATCCTGGGTAGTAGATGGTACTCAGATCATCCACTCCTGACTCGGCAAGTAGTTCCAAGTTTGACTTGTACTCTCCTAGTAACTTCTCTTTTTCTGGGGTGAGAGTATCACCAAATTTGATTTTCATTGGGTTTCACGTAAGTGATTAATTAAAGAGGTAAAGTTTCTATTCAAATAAAACCTCTAACTACAAGTCTAGAGGTTCATTGCACCTGATCTGAGGTGCTCCATCTCCCTCCTGCTGGTAGTGATGATATCCAGCTTCCTCCTGTACTCCACCGTACTCTTATAATCCTCTACATCGGAGGTAGCATCAGTGTACTTGCTGAGAGCGGGGCTAGATCTGGGCTGGGTCACAGCTCCGTTAACAGAACTGTGATCAGTACGGATAGTAAGAGTTGGGGGCGGGGAAGGAGGGAGAGTTGGAGTGATCGCTCTCCAAGAGCTTCTGTCTGTTCTCGCGCCGACTGAAGATGCGCGCGTCGCGTCACCATGGGAACCAAACAGACTGGTGATGCCAGAAGCAGTGCTGTGGTCTGTCCAGGCAGTGGTGAGAGATCTGTCTGTTTGGTGGGGTGAAGGGAGGAGGACCGTACTGCGGTCTGTTCGGAGAGTTTCAGCTATTGTCGGGGAGATGGTTGATTCTGAGACGGGGTTGTAAACTGTGCTCATGTCAGTTCGTTCACTTCTGTACTCACTATTCAGCCCCAATCTGAAGAGAAACATTTCACAAGATCATTATCCACTCCAAAATGACTTAGTTAAAAGTTCATAAGATTATTCACAACAATGTAATAACAAACGGTCATTTATATACCTTGATCGGACACTTCTGGCAAAGTTCCAGACGGTACTGTGATCTGTCTTCATGCTGTACTGTGAGCTGTACTGAGAGATACTCTCATACACATGCTCTCTTGACGCTGTCAGCCATAACCGTAGTCGCCTGTCAAGAGGAACGTGGTTCATGAGTTGTTGTTGTGAGCGCCTATCTTAACTAACGACTTTCTTTAAAGAATCACTTTGTTTAAAGCTAAGGAAAGGTTCACGGCCTCTGAAACTAGTACGTAACCACGATGGAAGGTTAAACTGTGGTATAGTAACATTAGCTTCTCTGAAGAGTGAATGGATAAACATTTTCCACTACTCTGCTCCTCAGTCCCCAACCAGTAGCTAACCTGTCCCAGCGGATGGTAAGCAAGGGAAATGTGGCAGCGAACAAGAGGACAGATCCGGAAGTGAGGATGTAAGTAAGCATAAAGCCGAGGGAGAGTTTGAAAGTTTTACTAAGGTAGATCTGAAGAATGTCCCCGAACCCTATCACTTGGCAGGTCGCACAGACTAGATACACTGCCCCTACCTGTAAAGATGGAACTTTTATTAGGATTTACGTTTGGTAGCTGACTTAATCATAACGAAATAATCTCAACCACCCATCTTAACAGCACTTTCTAACTTAGATAAGTTCTTGAATAAAATTAAAAATACTGAACCAACTGAAAATACATCTACCTGAAATACACCCACACTGGTCCTAAACTCCCTGTCCTCCCATCCCTTCTCACTGATACACGCTGACACGCCCACCAGCCCGGTACACAGGATGGTAACCATGGAAACCAGGACTAAAGGGGCGTAGTCCAGCAGGATAAAGAAGTAGTACGCCCATTCGGGGGACTCTCTTTCTATAACAGCGTACATTGGCAGGAAGATGTTAGTTGCTGTGTTTCTCATCTGCAGGTAGCGGGGCTCGTTAGTCTGTAATTTAGCCAGGACACGTACGGTCGGGTTTTTAGTAAATGTCAAAAGTATACTCACCCTGATCGCAGCCGATGTTAGCACACGTACGGCCAATGCTTATGGAATATGAAAGTATTGGCCGTACGTGTGCAATACTTAAGGCCACAGGGGGGGGGGGTCCAAGGGCAAACAATTTTTCACCCCAGTTGGCAGACCACGTACTACCTGACGCTCACACACCACCCCTAACCCCCCAGAGCGCCTAGTTTGTCGTAAAATTGAGGTTAATATTTGCCTATTTTATTAGTTAACCTCACAAATAACCGGTTATTAACATTTTTTGCTCTCATCTTAAGTTAAACTTATCCATGGGTACCAATTAGCCGTCCAACGTCAAGAAAACTATTATATGCCCTTTATTTTTTTGAAAAATTTTCTTAAAAATCTGTCTTTAGGCTCTCCTGAAAACACCTGACTGAGATAGTCACAGTCAGGAAATATGAGGAGATTTTTAAAATTTTGCTTCTAACTCTTTTTATGAGGTTAACTGTCGAAAATTGTCGAAAATATCGTGACGCGCACTCATTGTTAACCTCATATCTCAGCTTAGGAGCAAAATATCAAAAATCGCCTCATATTTCTGTTGGACGAGACATCGACAAACACTTTTGCCAAGTTAGGTAGATTTCTGCCAAAACCTTATTAAATGTTTTCATTGACAATAGAATTACAGGTAAACCTCAAAATTTGACGCGCGATATCTACACATGGGAGACTTTTTTTCGTTGAAGACAGAAGCATTTGAAAATTTAGATCGAGCTCTACAACATATGTCAAAATCTCAAAAATGACCTCGGACCTCCCTGTGGCCTTAACATCTTGTTAAGTACTGAAGGCCCCACATATCCTGACATGATCTGACCTGTATTGTGTACCCGAGTCCTACAGCCCACCCTACAATCCATATCAAGCTGACTAGTAAAGGTATCCTGAAATTCAGATCCTTCTTCTTGAGGTAAACTTCACCAGCTCTAATGACGGTTACCATGGCAACTAATAATGGCATGACCCTGGACGTTAGCAGGGTCAGTATATTCGTTACCACCTGAAAAACTTAGTCTCATTGTTCTGGTCTTCTTCTCGTTCATTAGTTTGCTTCATTATGAACCGACTATCCTATTATCTCATTATCTGACCCAATTATATCCAGATATGCAGAATACAGATAGATATGCAGATTAAAGATTGACCGTAAACGTGGTGCCATGACAAAAGTTATTGATAGTTTTATTGAAGTGCCATTAACAACAGACCTGGAACTGAAGCCAGGTCTTGCTCACATGTACTTCTGGAGGTTGGGAGTTACAGGGCATACTCAGTGTGAAATAGGTTCCTGAGAGATACATTTACAGTCAGCTCTTGGGCGAATGCCAAAATTTTGGCAAAAGCCAGATTTTCGATAATAGCCAATTTGCAAACTTTTGGATAAAAGCTGCATTTTAATGACCGTTCTAAACCTTATGCAATCTTGGAGGGGGATATTTAAAACATATAAGTGATACGAAAGATTTTATTAGCAGGAGCTTTCAAAATACTTGTGTAAATCGTCTTCAGCTTATGCAATCTTTAGCGATCTGCCAGATCCTTTTTGACAGAATTTCTAGATTGCTCTTTTTGTCACGTGACCCTTTACCAACTCACCGGTATGAAGGAAAGCTACAAGCCCCACCAGCACATTCACGTAACTAATAACAAGATACACAGAGGACACCGCCTCCTGACGAGTACTGTAGAACCGGGCTACTACCAGGTTCAGGACCACTGATAGTAGTCCGAGCACTGGTACCAGAGCCATCAATATGATGATGTACCTGCGGGGGAGGGGAGAATATGAGGTGCCTCTTAGTAGACCTGGTTCATTAATATAATGTACCTGAAACTAGAGAGGGACTTTTAATGTTGAGTGTTACATTTATCATATAGAGTATAGACTAGCCAAGCTTTGTCAAGGTTTATTCTGTGAGCTCCTTAAATCGTTGGCCAAAATACGATAAATTATTCATATTACTTACTCTTTGAAGTATAACCTGATAAATATTAGGGGAGTGTGCCAAATAAACACTCACATTTTACATATTTATTCCAAACATTTCAAGAAAATAGTAGGGATGATTCAAGAACCATGACACATTTTCTAAGAATGCCTAAAAGTCGTTAGTAAAACTACTTTTAAGAATTAAAAAGCCCCCCCCCCCCCCCCCGCCCCCTTGAATATATTCATGTTACTCACTCTTTGAAGTACCCATTGAGGACTCTCTCAGAATACGAGTGTTTACATCCTCCCCAAAACTCATAGTCACACCACAGGTCCTTACAACCCGAGAATCCCGGCTCGTTTATCCCAATCGTCATTGTGAAATACCACCAGGGAAATTCCTAAACAGGACCCGAACCTTGGTGGAACAATGAACTGGGGTTTTATCCTGATGGTAATGGCTGGTCACCCCGGTGGAGGTGGTGCCTGTTTTGTTCTGCTAATCACCTCTTGTGGGGTGGTTGTCTTGTTTTAGTAGTGAACCTTCACAACACATGGGGTCTCTTTCCTCTAGGGGCGTGCTGGTAACAAAACTATTAGATTTATGTAAAGAGATAGAAAAGCCAGGACAATGCAAGTGCAGACAATGGCATGAGCTTACACATTGTGACATGTGGTGGAGATTTCAGGTGTTTCTACACGATTAGCTGAATTTGCATAAGCAGCTGGAACGAGTTTCGTGATTGTATGTGATCTGGTTATTCTGGATGCGCTGTCATGAGTCAGTGTGTGGGTGTGTAACAAGAGTTTAGATCTGACAAGACTAAGGAGCTGTCAGCTTGAAAGCTTCAACGTTTGAAGAGGTGCAGGTGTTACCCAGATAGCCAGATAGCGGGATGTGACCCCGTTTTTATGAGTTTTTCCAAGTGACTGATGTTTGAAAGCGGCAGATAATTGAGGCCACAGATTTGTCTGAGTGACAGATTATAGGTGACTGATTTCACAACTAACAAATATAAGAGACATAACATATTACACAATCATAATTTCACAACAAGTAACCCTTATCTCAGGTAACTGTGATCCTGATAGGGCTGTGCCAGGCGTGGATTGGTGTATTCTCTGCAGTAGTGTACGCAGGTCCTACTATTGCCCTCAAGATATGTCCCATGGTTTCAGCCTTATCAGCCTTCACAAGCGGGTTCTTGGTTCCTGAACCCAACATGCCGCCCCCTTTCCAGGCACTGTTTTTCTTTAACCCCACTTTCTGGGCTATTCAAGGTTAGAGATACTGTCATATACATTATACGTACAATTTAGATGTGTTTATTTCATGGGTTGCACTTTATATTAAAACCTGATCTCGACAGAATGACAAACATTGTTTAAGCATTACTGCCATAAGAGGCTAAATTACAACTATTCTCGACCTAATTTTTGTTCGATATTGTATAACTATTTGCTAATTCCGCCTCAGCGATAGCAAAGTTACTACTAAAAGACAAACTGTTCGGGTGTGAAGAATACACCAGCAAACTCTCCTGTCAGATATCCTCTGGAAACTTTAATCTCGCTAGTTTCGGGTTTTTGGACGGAGATCCCGTGACTACGGGGTTTATTTTACTTGGTGGGTACTTGTTATTCTCCTTGGGATGGTTAAGACAATATTACGTCAGCAACAAAATTGCTGTTTACCTTAAGTTTGTTCCGAAAGAGGTTTGAGGTTGGGCCTGTAAAGGGCCAAGGGGGGTTGGCAAAGAATATTGACTGTTACCGATATGATATGAGGGGAAAGGAGGTCAAAAATGGAAAAAAGAGTTGCTGACGTAATATGTGAAAGATCCCAGCTTTGGTAAATGGAAGGATGTGTTTACTGTTTATAACTTCGTGAGGGAAAGGACCTTGATGTAACTTGGCGGTAACTTGGCAAAGTTCCAAGTCAATGATCCAGTATTTCTTACCAGGTTTCATCGTCCTGACCCAGCTGTTCTCTGTCTGGGTTTTGTTATTCAAACACTCTCCTGATTCCATACACAAAGTATTCCTGAAGTGGTTATCCAACTTACGGTAAGTGCTTAAAGTCTATTTTTTCATCCTAATCAGTTCCCCATTTGACATGAAATACGCCTCCTTAGTAATCGGAGGAAATAGACTAGAATTATGACTTCATGATGATCCTGGTCCACAGTCCGCAGATATGTCCTAATTTTGGAAAGCTTTGTGGCAGAGGTTAAATAGTTTGTGAAGTGGTTCAGATGTGCACATGATGTGTACATCCGACACAGCAGTCCGACCAATACATTCAATGTCATTCAACTCTCGAGTTTTGTGTCAGATGTGACACGTGGGACCACATCACCTGACGTCAAATTGTCACGTGGGCTCGTCACAGAATCACGTGGTCGCAAACGAGCCGCGTGATTATATCACTAGGTCACGGGACAGTTGTCAGGGACATCACGTGATGTTGTGATGTCACGTGATAGTTGTCAGGGTGATCACGTGACAGCATGTGCAAGCTGACAGGGAAGTCGGTGGGCGCGTGGGATGATCACCACGTCTATTCACTCGTACATTCAATTAGCTGTAACTTTTAAAAGTAAACCTACGATGGACATGGTACTCATTCAGCCCCCCATTACTGGTCACAACCGGAAGTGAGGGGTTTAGGGTAGGGCTGAGAAGTTTTCAGCTGGTCTGGCTGTCAAAAAATTACATTCAAAGTTTCGTACACAACCCAAATTCCAAACGCTTGAGAGAATCTTTTACTAACCACACTCTATACCACACTCTATACTTCTATTATACACACTCTATACGAATAAGTGAACTGACTTACATTTCTCATGTCATTTCTAATAAATAAATCTAAATTTCAGATGTTCCATAACGCTACCAAGGTTCTTTGCAAACGGGAAGGTGGCTGACGGAGAACTGGTGATTGTTCGTACCAAAGACATAGAACCGAGGAAAGAATGGGCTAAAGTTATCGGCAAGGTTATCAAACAGCAGCAAGGTAATCATTACTTGGAATGAATTTAGAATTAACTCCTTCCTCGTCTAATTGTATCTTATGTATAATTCATGAACATGTCTCTATAGTCTATACTCTAATAGTACTCTAATTGTACTCTAATTGTACTCTAATAGAACTCTAATAGTACTCCAATAGTACTCTAATAGTACTCCAATAGAACTCTAATTGTACTCTAATAGTAATATAATAGTAATATAATTGTACTCTAATAGTACTCTAATTGTACTCTAATTGTACTCTAATTGTACTTTAAAACACCCACTTCTTCAGAAACGTTCACTACGGAGATAGAAGCTGGTCGTATCATAGAGTCTTCCTTTTTAGAGGGGATAGGTCATTTCTTATACAGACGTGGTACTAACTCTGAGACTATACTCGAGAGTCACAATAGAAATTACAGAAACCAGAATGGTAAATCAGAGTTCTTTTGTGGTTGTCGTATTCATGGTTGACGTTTGTAGATAGAAAGATCAAATTCTACGATATCTTTTTGAGTATACATAGTACATAATAATATGAACGTTTTTACTTCTGCGAGGTTAAAAAACTACTAATAAATGATATGTAATTTTAACAATGATAATTTCAGGTGTAACGGACGAGATGTTGGAAAGAATAATCCTGATTCTACGAAATGGTCTGAGACCAGTAAATGAGAGCTCAAACAGACCGGGGGAGCACCGGAGTAGCTCCGTCCATGGTGGTTCGTCTCTCTTTTTGTTTGAATTTCTTCCAATTAACTGTATTCTAGTCGTAATGTTTAATCAATGGTCTTGATATAAAACGCCGTAACGGGTTTTCCTTATCAGGTGGTGAGAAAGGAACCTACAAGATAAAGAACCAGGCTGAGCTTCAAGTCCACCAGATGCTTCTGGCAAACAGGAAACGTCAGTTCCAATCCAAGTTCAAATCAGCCGGCAACAACGTCCGAAATGCCCAAAGGTTAGTTAACCATTTATCTGACAAATCTTACCCCAAACTGGTTAATGTTAGAAAAGTCCCGAAGTAACGTTTCTGTAGTAAATTAAGTTGGGGACATGGTCCAGACCATTGTCTCATACTGTTCATGTGCCATAGATTTCTGATAAAACGGAGTAGTGTAAAATACATCAGGAGTGAAAGTGAACAAATGTTCTGTCGTGTTGCAATGAATGTTGTGAGGTAAGAAACTCTTGAGATCTGCAGAGTCCTCAGCCCCCTGGATATTGGAGTTGATAAAAATCTGATCAGATTTACATCGATAGCATCTCATTATTCTCATTATTCTCATAACTCCATTGCAATTGAAATAGTTAAATTGATTTAAGCACTTACCGTAATTGGTTATTTAATTAGAAGATACAGGCCACAGGGGCTTTAATTGGCCTGGTCAACATGACAATATTGACGTTTTCATCAAGATATTACTCAATTAGATATCATCTGTATAATTCTCAAAGCATTCCCCACCTATAATGAGCATACCAAGCCTGTCCTTACTTAAAACCACACTATTATAATGTAAAACATGACGTAACCAACAACTGTCCTGATATTATCTTAAACGTGCTCACATCACTGAAAATTAGTTAATTTCACTGTATCTCAGCTGACTTCCACCCAGTTTCAGAACAACAGGTTTAAGGTAGGTAGGTACAGTACCGTTACACCCGCACTCTATTTCAGACTGAACAGTGATGGCATTGAGATGAGTGGAGGTCTGACTCCCACCACTGAGTACGGAGCACCAGGAAGCACAACCTCCCTGCTCCCAACTAAACCACCACTCCACGTGACTTACTCGTGTCCCACCCCCAGGAGGTTCTCAACTCAGGATCCTTTGTGTACCATACCAGGGAGCAGGGAGTCCGAGCAGGATGCTGCTGATATGGGGAGGCGGGGCTCGGCTTTCGGGAACTTGCAGAGCTCGTCCCGTGAAGACTCGGATAGTCCCGAACAGAATGAACAAAATGATGATCAGTTCAAGTCATTTATTCGAACCTTAAAACCTCGCAAAGAGAGGTGCGATCAAGTTGAGGATTTTGAGGAGCACAGACTGTCCGATCTGGTTGAGAATTCCGTCTCGGTCAGTCCCGTTCTAGCGGCTTCTTCTCCAACTTCTCCGACCAGTTCAGATTACAACAATATTGTAACCCTGGTGTAGCAGTTTCCTTGGCAAACTTCCTATCAATTTATATCTCCACGATGGAGAAACTAACCGCATTATATACTGTTACTGAGTGCAGATTAGCTGTGTTTCGTTAGACCGTATGAAACATATAATCAGAAGGAAAGGAGAAATTGAATTCACGGACATGGACAAAATCATTTCAGAGGGAATCGTTTCTGTGAAATCCTGCGATTCTGTGAAATCCTGTTTTGGTTTAGTAACTCTGAACATGTTGCTCATAGTAGTATTACAGTAACGAAGTTGAGTCTACATTTAATTTAATTTGAGAAGTTTGTAGATCACATAATTGTGGGTCGGACCTAATCACTTATGCCGAGGTTATGTGGGTTTAAATACAGAAAATAAGATTTTCATATTTTCTTGCGTACTGTTGTACGATATACACATGGTCCCCCGGATTAAAAATTATATTATATTATATTATTTTGATGTTTTGATATGTGGAATGACTGTTATGTTTAGTTGACAATTTAATATAATTGATATTTGTAGATCTTAATGATGACAATGATGTTTTGAAATTGAAAATATTCGAGTTGAATTATTGAACCTTGGTCCGTTGGGGATCTCATTTGAAGTTAGAAATTAGTTTTGGAGAGTTATCAGGGTTTGTTGAACAGGCTAATTTAAATAATAGCGACTCAGTCTTGCACTAGTTGCCCCGAATCTAAGCTAGTTTTTATTGAACAATGATTGGAAATTGTCGAATTTGTATCACATTTTGTTCACGATACGATGTTCTTAACCAATTGTTTAACTTTGAAAATGCTTAAAAATTCCCACTAGAGTTTCCACTACTTAAAAAAATGTAAGACTAAGAGCACATCTATATTAATTTGTATATAAAGATTATTATTTAACACGACTTGATACCGGGTAATAATGGAAAAGCCCCTGAAAAATCGTACATCTAGCTATGAGTTACCGTACCCAAATGTACAAACATATAAGCTTATAAGATAGGGTGGTCTGATGAAGATATAGCTGGACCTAGCATGTCAATCAGCAGCCAGCTAATATCTTAATACCGCTCCATCCCCCATTACGAACCGGAACTTCAGCACTACAGCTCCTGGCATCTCATTGGTCAAAACTGCCCACGTGCCACAACTCTGCTTCCTTATTGGTCAAAGCGTTCTGTTGATCATGCAATTAGGCTGATATAGCCTGAACGTAGCTATGACAACCACCAAATTATTTGATTCAAATGCATCTGAAGATTATAATGTAGGTCTGCTTTATCCTGCCCACTGTTGACGAGAATAATAAAAGTTAAGAAATCGAGAAGTAAGAACCATGTATGAACGGATCGTTAGATCATAGTGGTATATCTTGAGTCGTGATCGCTGCTCATCACCATGGCAAATATATCTTAATATCATAGTCTCAATCTCTCACCTCACTGAAACTAGACGGAAACCTAGTAACGTTAACCGGCTCAGAAGTGAACTGTGAAGGGTAAACATGAGATCTGTGTGTCTCATTTGTCACCTTGGTGAGGAATAGCTATTCCTCTCTCTTATTTATCCGAAATGACGGAGCAGCCGTCTGGAAGGGGGGTTCCCAGTCATTGGGAACAAAGACCTGTCAGAGTGAGAGACAGAGAGAGTGGTGATTGAGCGGGGGCTGCACAGAATAACTACATATTATTCAGAGCAGGAGCTCGTTCCCTCTGTTCCTTAGTAAACACTGAATATAACACAGTCAAGCTCCTCTCAAGCTGTTACCTACTATACGTGCTCACCTCCTGAACAATGTTCTACAATTAGCTCTCCTGAATAATGCAATTGTTCCATGTGGGGAGTAGCCGAGTTTCTGAGAGGGAGCAGCTCCAATCAACAACCCCCAGCTTCCTGGTCCACGCTCTCCGCTCTGTACGCTCACATTGTTGCAATCCCAGCTCCAGCTCCCTCTATTCCAGCCGCGGACCCGGAAAAGGGAGCCTGAGTCTGACCAATGGTAATGGTCGAGATTAGGGCAATTGAAGCACTTGATAGGAGAGCTTATCTCGGAGTGAGGAACGCGTCACGTGGTGGTTCACGTGATCACCAAATATGTGCAGCTATTGTTCCAGAGCGACCGGATAGCGATCTGCTGGACATGACTCAATCAAACCCGCCACGAGTCATGTGACAGCGCCCACGTGCTCGCCCACGTGATCTTACCTTGTCAATATAATGTTTCAATTACCCTGGCTGCTGGCTAGCAACCGTCGAGAGAGAGGTACCTCATTACCCGTTAACTACATCCTATTGGCTCTCGCGGAGGCACGTGACCAAAATACCGGAGTGTGACTGGCTGGAATGTCTAATCACAGGGGTTATAAGTCTCGTGTGACAGGAAAAGACTACAATCCCACCACCACACATGATTAGCTCTCGCATAGCTCTGCTGTGCCCACTATATAATACTGCTCAATAGTTTTGTTGTTTTACATTTCTGCACTCGTGTGTATATTGTGCCTGCATCTCTGAGCTGCTCTCTCTTTGACTAGTGGTCTATACCGTTTCCGTGTTCCATTTGCTATAGCACAGTTTATAGTACGCGTCTCGAGCGGCCGCTATTCATTTATATGACCGCCCTTTGTCAATTCGTCATGGCTACCGAGGATAATATTGTTCCGGCGTTCGAGGGCATTGATCCTCCCCTACTGGACCCGTTAATGGTGGAACACTTCAACAATCTCCAGTCTCCAGAGACCTCACAGCTGAGCGGCTCTCCTGGGAGACCGAACGGCAGTAACTGTGAAGGATCTAGTGTTAATCTCCAGGGTTTGTCTCTGGATGACCTGATAAAACTTGTTACCCAGCTCTGTGAATCTGATCCCTCATTTTCCGAACAAATTCTCTCCGCTCTGAACGGGGACACGTCGTGCGATGAGAAAGATGGGAGTAGACCTAACAGTAACGAGGCGACCGCCAGTGAACCCATGATTGTTGAGTCAGAACCCCCACTACCTGATACAAACACTCTCCTCAAAACATTAAACCAGAGTTTTCTTCTCCAGGAGTATAACAACACCCTCGCTCTTCAAATAGCCCAAGCTAACACCAGACTTTCTTCTAACGGCCTCGACTCTTCAAATCCTGCCCAGTCTTCAGTCCTTCTCAACGCAGAGTCTCTACAGGAGGCCATGAAGTCCAATCTGTTCGTGATGGAAAACAAGGGAAACAACTTTGTTCCACTGAAAGAATTCCGGAGACCTGGACCCAAATACACCAGGAAAAACTTCAGTCCCGAACAGATAGAGGGACTCGAGGCAGCTTTCCAGGAGCATCGATTCGTGAAGAAGGATCTTAGAAAAGAACTTGCCAGGAAGCTGAACCTTAGCGAGAGGAGCATATCGTACTGGTTCCAAAACAAACGTGCGAGAAGTAAACCTCCGATAACGATGAGCAGTGAGGCGGCTCTGAAAGCAGCTCAACAACAACACGGACTAGAACCACAGCAGCAGCTGGATCAGCAGCAACAAAGTCAGCAGGATTCCTTGGTGGCAGCTCTTCAGCAAACCATTCAACAGTCCTGTGCCACGTGATCGTGACTGAAGATGTGTCCCAGAGAATGGGGTGTATCCTTGAATCAGACTCACAACCAGACCCTCAGGTCCCAGTAAAGTGGCTACCACAACGACCTTTCTGCAAAACCCTGGAATTGCCCGATTGCAGCGACAGCTTGTCGTATTAATGAACAGAGACAATGAAACATTAAACACACCTTATCAGATAGCTATGGCATGAGATTTATGAGGATTATTTGGATCAGTTTATTTATACCCGTATTTGTTAACAAAGCTGTTAGAAGTTATGGTGGAAATGAATTACAGATGTAAACTTTATACGCATTCATTTTTACCAATTGAAGTTAAGATAATGAAGCTACTTATAGGTACATATTAATATTTTGAGTTTTTACCATGTTGATGCTGAATATTGTTTTGAATGATTACGTTTATAACGGTTATTATACGCTTTTATTATATTTCGTGGTTAAATTTGTCAAATATCTTTTCATCTAAACCTCAATATGACATTATGAGCATATAAAAATAGCTCAACAAACAAAAAATTAAAGGAATTGGAATACCCATAATTCTAATGATGTAAAAGTCTGATTCCATACTCTAGTTGTTCCCTCCAACTTTTGGCGGTCAGCCAACAGCCCTGACAGCACTGCAGCTCATACTGATTTGAAATGATACGCTACAATCAAAGTTAATTGCTCTCAATTACCAAGCTAATTGCTCTCAATTACTGTGCTAGTGATTAACCAGCAACCTAAGGCCTAGATCCTTCGTCCTAAGACTTAATCAGTTTCAGGGAAACAGTAACACAGTGTCCTTACCGTCAGCATTATCTCAACCTGGCTGCAGTGTTAGAAGAGCTAATTTCAAACGATCTGAAAGTCTTGAGTCCAGTCAAACGATATGAATGATTGATTTATTTATCATGATCGACCGTTGCCATGGAGGCCGCTAAAGAAATCCCTGGCTGGCACAGAAGCGGGTGATCACGTGCGGTTAATGAAACCAGATGATTTGCTGTTAGCTCCATCATTCGGTGCTGATTGATTTAGGGTTTGATTTGAATAGCTACTGTTCTGCAATATAAGTGGCAGGGGGAATTTTAATAGCTAGCCTCAGCAGGTCATTCAGTTGCACCCACGTGACGCAATATCGGTATCAGGATTGGGTATCCCCTTTAATGAGGCGCTGTGATTGGACTTTATGAGCTTCAGCATGTGATTTTGATGAATCTTGAAATGCCAAATCGTACTTTCGGCGTTTTTATTGAGTGCTAGGTGAACGGATGATGTTAATTAGAGTTACAGTCCTGTACCAGTCATTGCTCGTCAAATACCATTGTCGGATTCCAACGCTCATGATCAGTAAACCCATCTCATTATTCATAATAATTGAGATGGGTTGATTCTGCGGAAGAGCTGTTCCAGTTAATCGTCCATTGTTATCTGCTTTCGAGTTAAATAATATTTTATTGAAGTTAAGTAATATTATTATAATGAAGTGTATTACACTGTTACTGTGGCGACCATGCATCTAACAACAACGTTACACAAAACTCAATCTGCTAAACTTAAATACATCTCAAAGTTGGTACTACTACTTCTTCATTACCTGGGATCCATTTCCTGTCACGCTAGTGACTAGTCTATTATAACGGGTAAAAACGTTATTGCAGTTTTATGCTGCAATTTGCAATTGATATAAACCGAAATAAGGTATTTTAGGTAGATCGGCCCTACTATAGTTATATACTATTTAGTGGAAGACCAAATTATTGTTTGTCGCGGGTTCGACGCGTTGTTTCTTGTTTACGTTACTATATACTTATAGTAATCTAAAATACTATAAAAATTTCCCAAATTTAAAGAATCGATGTAAAAGAAATAGCGATTATTATTTAAAAATAATTGAATGTTGGGTTTTATAACAAATTCTCTCGCTATTAGTATTGTACCGTTCATCCTGGTCTTTTTTCGAACTAACAGTGAAGTTACAACACGTACCTTCAGTTAAGTTCCAACTCAAGCCCTTTACTTGTCCAGCTGCAGTAGTGGTAAAAAATCTTGAATTTCCTCGATTAGCGCAACAACTACAAGTATATATTTTAGCCAATTTAATCTACCTCATATTCTCATCAAACTATCGTTAACGGCAACTGATTTGTTTAGTACATAGTACTCCTAAAGTTAAACTTGCTAATAATAGTGTTTCAAATTCAAGCAGTAATGACACTCAACTAAACCAATAAAATGGATGTGTGCAAACGTTTTAGTTTTACATAACATGGAATTTTACATTATTCTGATGAGGTCAGAATGGTGGTGTACACTTGATGGGAATCAATGATGTAAATAATAATATTGGAAGAACCCTGCCCGGCCATGCAACCCTTCCCAGATTATTGGTTCCTGGTTCCTACACGTGATCAATTGATGTTATGGACTTTGCCTGTACTTTTACTGGGGTAATATTTCGAAAAAATGTAAACGCTTTTCATCCGTCAATCTACACCATACGATACACGTCGATTCGGAGTTTGATCGGTTAACCAACTGTGAACTGTGTTGTCGTGTATTGATGAGTCGTCAACGTACACTTTACGTGACGCGTCATGTGATCGATTAAATTTAAGAGATGGATTCATGTAATGGAGTTATTGGAGTCTTTGTTTTAGCTAAACGGCACGTATAGTACTGTAAATGTAATCTGGGGACCGCAGGCTTTTGTGTTCACACATTCAACATACCATGAACATTGAAGAAATTGGAAATGGTGCATTTGGCATTGACAGGCTGAGTGCCGCCCAGTAACACGTACTTCAGAAATATACTTCAGTATATAACGTACGTAATTATAATTATATTATATATTGTATATAGTTTATATTAATATAGTTTGGTGATCTTTGCACTTTAATTTTAGCTAAACGGCACGTAACGCATTATTATACTTATAGTATTACATATTACGTGTAATAATTTTAAACGTAATACTGAAGTTTTACAAGATTTACAAAATTAAAATAATTGACAAGATTTATACAACATAAAATGTATAATATAATTGTCAGATATTGAGTAATTTATTTAGCTTGCTAGATATCGTCTATTGCTCGCTTCTCTTATTACGTATATTCTTTTCAACTGTAACTACTCAGGAAGCTTGAAAAAAGCAGCACGACTTTATCAATATCAATTTGTAGGTTGATACATGATAACCTTATACCAAAACGCGAACGCGCGCCGAGTTGGACTCGTCGACGGTCTAATATTTGGAACAAATATTTTACGAGTTTTGCCCGTTAATCATCAGACATCAACCAGACTTTATATCAGTAAAGTCTAAAAGTAAAACATGACATAAAATATAGGCGCAGGTTATATTATCTCCGCCAAAAGCACATCCAATTTGGTACGTATGAAATATGTTTATAACTTCCTTGATTTTGTTATGTAGGTTTATAACCTTTATAATAATATAATACCAAAAAGCGCGCAGAGTTAGACTCATCGACGGTCCTATTAATAATAATATTTGAAACAAATTATATTTTACGAGTATCAACCGTTAATTAATATTTGGAACAAATAGTTTACAATTACACCCGTTGATCGCGTTAAGTCGCGTCTAATTTTACTGGGCCGCGCTCGCGCTCAGCCTGTCATTCCGCCGAATTTCTATTATATGCCGAATTATGTTTATGAACATAATAATAGCCTGATCAGGTCCCCAGGTAAGTCTGATTAAAATCATAGCTAAGGTCAAAGACTACTTTTCCTCACCGTCCGTAGGGTTACTGGGCCGCGCTCAGCCTGTCATTCCGCCTAATCTAACAACATTAAAGCTTAGGGTCCTCAGGTAACCTTAGGGATACTGGATGGCAATTTCAATTCGGGCGCAATTAGATTTTGACTGCGTTCGTTCTGTGTACATTAATTTGTAATTGTAAATGCTGATTCATAATTAAGATTTGAATGGTAAATATTTAAAATTAAGTGTTGAGGTACACAAATTTGTACGCGTAAAATTTTTATATTATCTTCCATCTTCACAATTACTTTTAACGGGTGATACTCGTAAAATATCTGTTCCATAAATTAGGACCGTCGACGAGTCTGGAGTCCAACTCGTCGACGAGTCCAACTCGGGGCGCGTCCTGGTAGGTTGTAAATCTACAATATTTGATATTACTTTAAAACTTGACCATTGTTAATGATTTGGCCCGGCGCGCGCTACTTCGTAGCACGTGCCATCGAGAAGAAAGCGGCGCGAGAAGAAAGCGGCGAGCGCTACTTCGAAGAAATTTAGACTTGTAGGTTTACAACCTACCAGATATTTTACGAGTATTACCCGTTAAATTTAGACGAGTAACAATGCATCCGTCAACTTTAAAACCAAAACTAATTTGTATTGATAGCTCAACAAAATAATGTTGTTCAAGCATAAACAGTTCAAATATTGTTTGCGTTTTATAAGCTAAGCCTGTCACGTGCGCGCGTTTAGCAAAAATGGTAATTATTTGCTCTCAACTCGTCAATAAATAATTTGCATGCTATGTAAAATTGTATCACGTCGTGGCCCCTATTGTTAACGGATGTTATTAGTTGTCTAAATTTCTTCGAAGTAGCGCGCGCCGCTTTCTTCTCAAAATACCCGAGGCAAGTGCTACGATTCAACTCAAGCGCAGTTTTAAAAAAACGGTACTCATAAAATATGTGTTTCAAGACTGTCGACGCGTGTTTTGGAGGTTATAAATGATAAACCTACAAAGGTTTTTTGCCAAGTTTTTCGTTTTGTCGAAATAGCGTTTCGTTTATTCATTATTAAAATAATGCGTTTCCCCATAATTATAAATATAATTGGGGCTAGGGAACATTTTGAATAATTCCGGTAGAACATTTTAAAATTTTCTAAAAGGAGCTTTTTTGCCGTTACGTCCCCTTGTACTTGATCGAAATTTGACTGAAATTTGGAAAGTGACACAAGTTGCCATCAAGGTACGGTATGGACATATTCAAATTTCAGCTTTTCGCGAACTTAATTTCATTGTGACCATTTTACCCTTTAGTTCCTGGTTCCATGGGCAAATAATACAGTGAACAAATTTGCACATATTTTATTTGCGAAATAAAATTATACTGGTGACCCGGGCAGAGCAGGATCAAGACTGCAGCCATTAGAGTCTTGATTTGATTTGATTTGAAACTTTTACAAAATAGCAAATATACAAATGTACAGCAAATCGAACAAACATATAAAATGGGCCGAAATGTATAAATGCTATAAAGCGTGGGTCAGTGAAACAAGTACAGAGGACAACTTTCAAAACAGAAGTTTTATGGCCGCCCAAAGTCTCAATAACATCACCTCCACCTAGTAATAGAATTATGAAATATGAAAAGTGTGAAACAATCAAATAATAAAATATTCAATATATGGACACGTTCATTGAAGTTTGAGGAAATTGGTAAATTTCTAAAACAGCGTTTTTGACGATAGTGGTTTAATTTTAACATATATTAATCTAGCGTGTTCATAAGTTCTGAACATTAGCCACGTGACCCATACTCCCATATGCACTGCTCAAAAATAAAAT